GAAAGTGTTTTCCTCCCAAATTTTTCAGGAAAACACTTTCTTGAAAATCAAGCCAAAGTTTCATTTGACTGGAAAGTGTTTTTCGTTTACCAACTTTCCTAACAGCAAACGAACACAAGAAAGTTTGGAAAGTGATTTTCCAGAAACCACTTTCTGAAAAACAAACACAAGAAAGTTTGGAAAGTGTTTTCCCGGAAACCACTTTCTGGAAAACAAACACAGCTAAAAAGAAAAACACTTTCCTGAAAACCAAGCTAATTTTTTTTTTACTGAAAAATATTTTTCATTGACTGGAAAGTGTTTTTTGTTGACCGGAAAATGTTTTCCATTTACCAATTTTTCTAATGGCAAACAAACACAGAAAAGTTTGGAAAGTAGTTTTCCAAAAACTATTTTCCGAGAAACAAACATGACCTAAGTATCAGAGAATTATCACCTCCATAAAAATTAAAAAAAATCTTTTACGGGTATTAATTATAAATACCTTAATTTAATAACCATCATGTATAAGTTATCAATTATTTAATTGAAAAGAATTAATTAAATTAAAATAATTAATTAATTAATTAACCAATTATCTAGACTAATTGAATGTTTTATATATATTATGGAATTTAGGTAAGATTTAATTAGATAAATCGAATTTAGTCATGTCAGTTATTTTTTTATTTAAATTAAAATTTAATTCAAGTCATACTTTAGACCGAGTTTAACAGGGCACGGCGGAAGCAGTCCTTGTTCCATCCAGAGCAGCCACGTCATCGAAAGATAGATAAAAAATCTGGCTAATTGAACAGACAGTTTAAAAGCCTTAAACCCAACAACACGGATAATATATAAATAGCCCCAAAACACAAAATTCTAAAGCTAATTCTCTAGAATCATCAAAACAAGAAGAAAAGAAATGGCGTGCACGAGTGTGCTGCGTTCTGTTTTGACAACAGAGCCATGGATGATTCCTCTCCATCAAAACCGAGCCATCATCTATTATTCTCTCTCATCGAGAAAAACCGTTGGAGTTTCAACCAGTAAGACACCAAGCATTAGGGCTCCTGAATTTCATCACTTTGGAAGACCAAGACCCACTCATGTTAACTGTTTCAGCTCTTATAATAATAACAACAACAATGAAGATGACCACGATCAAGACCCCCCTCAAGAAGCTGTGCTCAAAGCTATTTCTGGTTTGTCTACTTCTTCTTCTTCTTTGGCCTTTTGGGTATTTGAATAGAATTTGTCTGGCATTTTAATTTTTAACATGATAAACTGCGGTCATTTAGTTAAATGGATTAGAATGACAATTTGTTTGTTGGAAACAAGGGCATGTGATGTAATGTAACCGGAGGAGTTTATTTCTCTGTTACTACAATTCTTTTGACTGTCCTATTTAATTTTTTTTAGTATTGTTATTATTATGCTTTAATTCATGATAGCCAAATGTGTTTTCCCAATTATTTATTTCTTGTATTTTATTAGTACTGCTATTTTGGACAGTTCCGGGTTAATTGAATTTGTTGTGAAGTTTTTATATGCCAAAGGTTAATGGATATCAATGCTTTCAGCTGATTCTTGTTGTATTCCATTTGGTCTTGTTATAATTTGTGTGAAGCATACAGTCACATATTGATAGAAACTTCTGTTGATGATACAGAGGTATCAAGGACAGAAGGGAGGGTTGGACAAACCACAAATGTGGTTATTGGTGGTACGGTAGCAGATGATTCTACTAATGAATGGCTTGCTTTGGATAAGAAGGTACAGATGCTTGACCTCTTTCGATTACCATTCCCTTTCTTTGTTAGCTTATTGATTTTATTACTTGTTAGACAATATTCTTTATTTTGTTTTCGTATTCGACCTCTATTCCATGTCAAATAATATTAATCATAACTGCTCGCGGACATCTGTAACAGATATTGATTTTGTTACACTTTAGAGTCTAGATTTTTATTATGCATGGTCTATGAAGTTATGATCTTGTAGACACTGTTCTTATGTGTTTGTCAAACTCGTACAAATTTGGCATCTGAACAGTAGTATTATTTACCTTCCAGGTAAACTCATATCCAACAGTTAGAGGATTTACTGCAATAGGTACAGGAGGTGATGATTTTGTGCAAGCTATGGTTATTGCTGTTGAATCTGTAATTCAACAACCAATCCCTGAGGTATATGTCCTTTCTTTTTGCTGCAAATAATTAGTAGAAAAGACATATAAGATGGCAGTGCGTTGAAAGAAGTAAACTGCAAGGAGACATGTATTGTGTCTTTTCTTGTTAATGTTGAATCCTATTTGTTTTTTGCATTACCTACAGGATTGTTAATTTCATTTTCGTTTTTTTATTGAAGTTTTCATGTTTTTGTTTTTGTAGGCTGTTCATTTATATTTCCTTACACTAAGGTTTTTTTCATTAAATATCATGAGTGGTCTCGTCCAATATCTATTTGGCATTAGAATTTCATAAACACGTGAAAAGTAATGGATGCTCTAGCACATAGATATCGAACAGAGGTGCTCATTGTCTGCCAATACAGAGTATTGAACATAGATATCGAACAGAGGTGCTCATTGTCTGCCAATACAGAGTAGTTCTTTCAGTAGCATGTTATGCTTGCGAGAGTAGATGACGATGCATTCTGTATGGTGTTGTGCTTTATCCTATGTGATTGAAATTAATGGTTGGCTTCTGTAACTCGCATGATTAGTTGAAGGTTGCTCCCCATAATTGATTGCATTCGTCAGATCTAAAGTGATTGATAGAAGAAGGTTTTAGGTGGAGAATCTCTGGCCATTACATCTTTTATCCAGAAATTAGAGATACTATAAGTGTTTCATAGACTGCAATGGTAATTTATATTTCGCATCGAGAAAAGAAATCTTTCTTTTCTACTAGGAATATGAGGAAGAACCTTTCTCATAAAATCTGGTCTATTAATAACTTTCTATTCCAACATAGAACGAAAAGGACAATATACAGGGCTTTAAATACAGAAGGGAAAATGTATTTAAAGAAAGTGATTGGTTTGCTTATTTGTGGTTTTCTACTGGAAATTTCTCTGCAGAAATTTGAAAACAGAAACTGCATGGTCTGAACCAAGTTATCCTGTTAGTTTTTCAAGATATGATAGGTTCCAAACCAAGTTATCTTGTTAGCTTAGGGAAACATGGATTTGGGTTTCAGAATTGTTAAGTGGATGATTTCCATGCCTTTGTTTTTCCACATCCAGCTTGAGGGAATGACTACTAGTCCTGCTCTAATGTAAACCTTAATGATAACATGTGAGTAGTGAAATTCCTCATCATATAGCTTGCAATTATGGAAGATTGCCATGTCATCAGCTGTGCTTTGCAGGTGGTGCATTACCAAACCATTTCTCATCAAATAGTTTGGTGAGTCTAGGATTTGAAGCACAAGCCTTGGATGATGGGACTAGAATACACATGCCATATGAATCTGTTGGTTAACAGTTACAAGTAGTAATGAGGAAGGCCTGTTTGAGAATAGCATGCTGGCCACAAATTGGCAATGGTAGTTATGCACATCCAGGGCTAAACAATAGTGGTCAAAGATGTTGTAAGGGTTGGTGTTGAAAGTTTTTGGCAGATACAAGCATTTGTAATTTTTGTTGATGTTGCAAATGGAAACAGATGCCACATATTTTATCTGTCATCATTATTATGCCTCAACTTATGGCTAAAAAACAAATTTTGTCTTCTTCCTTCTTGAAACACTAATGGTTGACTTTACCATTAAAGTGATTAAACTGTTAGACAACAATATGAACCTTGTCAGAAAAAAAAGCTTAATTTCTCAATTAGATTACTGTTTTGGATGTGTCAATCTCGCTGTCATGCTGTGGCTCTTGGTCGGTTACATAGAAAGAAATGTTATATTTAAAGGCATGTTTGCGTTACTTATGCTGTCCAGGTAGGGGAAAAAAAGGAAAAGCTGAGATTGCTATCAATTTATTGTAATTTCATCAATATAAGAGTCTTTATCTTAGAACATGGTGAATTTTTTTACTCTCAGTATTGCAGTTTGAAGAAATAAGTTGACCTATTGAACTGATGCCGATTGTTTCAAAATGCTTACCTGTTCTTGAAAATCTTGACACCTTTTAAAAATAAATATAACCAGATTGTTATTAAACTAGATGATCTTTCTTTCATTTTTTTTTTTTGGCAACCTTTTTCTTTGATTGCAGATCTGACTTACTTGTTGAATTATCAGCCTAGAGCTTGTATTATAAACAAGTATCTAATTACATTAAGCCACTTTTTTTCCCAGGGTCGAGTGAGGCAGAAAGTATCTTCAAGGGGCAAATATGTGTCAGTCAACATCGGTCCTGTTCAAGTGGTTTCTAGTGAGCAGGTCTCTCTCTCTCTCTCTCTCTCTCTCTCAGGCACGTAAAAGATATTGATGAGACATAGTTTTTAGCTTTTTATGGAAACAAAAGGAAAGAAAAGGGGCTGATATGTCTATATATATATTTATGCTTAATAAATGATATGTTGATTATTTTGCGCAAGATATCAATAACACCTGGTGATAATTTGTTGACATGGAACTTCTCGTTCTGCCAGGTTCAAGCTGTATACAATGCCATGAGGAGAGATGATCGGATGAAGTACTTTTTGTAGTATGAAACTCCTTTTGTTTTGTATAGAATGCCGATATGTGGGGCTGAAAGATTTGCCTCTCTTTTAAGATTTCCAGTCTTTCTTTCCCAGTTATGTTATTTGATAAGCACAGGTGTTATTAGTTAAGAAATCTTGATTCAATATGATCTGTTAGATATTTATTTGAGATGTATATTATAATGATTTGATAATCACAAAATAGGGAGCAAATACCTTTTGTAATTTCATGCTTGATCTACAATAGATAGATTGGCTATGGATAAAAACTATATCGAGCATGGTTATGAATTTCTTTCTTCATTTTCTTTTTGTGGTTTGCAATTACTTGGAGGGCAGGGAAGTCTTGTTTTGAGTTTGTTGAACTTGGGGTTTTTATGTGTATTGACTTCTATGGAAGTCCAGAAAATGTGATGCAAGGAAATTCTGTGTAATTGTGGCTTTATGTTAATTCCGGCTCCTAACACCAGGTAGTCATGACTACATCACAGTTAGCATGCATTGTGGCTATGCTTTTTTATCATATCCCAAAGGTTCTTCCATTGCAAAACTAGCAATATTGATCATTCCCATTTTTATATGTAGGACTGGCATATTTGACTTTGCACCTGCTTGTAACTTCCGTGGATGGGTCCCAGACTGATATCAGGTGCTTATAACGGTATAGACTTTGTTGGTTTGCATTGTTTCTTGCCTCAACTAACACATGCTCGTAGTGGTAGAGGGACAACTCTGTTAGTAAGAAGTGTTCTTATAGTCAAGCTAATAACAATTTCTACAGTTTATCAGGCTTTATTACAAGGGACTGTTTCTGCTACCATAGTCTAAGTCAAGGTATGCTGTATGACATCAGAATCGGTTAAAGTTCGCTATTAGATACAGGTATGAAATATGATTTTGTATGTAAGGGCTCATAATTTGATGTTGATTGAGGTGAGTCGTTGGAAAATACTTGCAAAGATGCTGTTTTAAATAAAACTCTAAACGCATAACCTTGTGGAGTATTGACTCAGTCATCTAGTTGGTTGTCTGTAGTTTTATTTCACCTAGTATTGAGTATTGACTGGTCTTACAGAGCAGCTACAGTCACCCTAGTTCTGCTATGCGGCTGATCGTTTGCAAATTGTAATTAGGCAGTCCTAGCACTTTCAGATTAGAGGCAAAGTTGGAGACTTGCATATAGTCTTTTCTCATACCAAAACTCTTGCCTTGATTTCACGTAGATGGAAAGTATCCTGTCCTTCCCTTTCAGATGTTCAAAAGTACGGTCTAATAATTTTGCATCAGCTTGTTAATTGTCATTAGTAAATGATGTGTTTTGCTCTAGAATAGCCCATCCTCATTTAAAATTAAGATGCAACGTCGTGGTACCTGCAGGATGTAATCACAGAAGCATCTCCCATGCAATATACCATTCTCCAAATAAGTCCTAGATTGACTCTATGACCAGTCCTTCTCGGTCCATAATGAATATTTTTATTTTTAACGTCTTAAATCATCAAGCAGTCGCCATCTCTTTATAATTTAATATTAATGTATGTGATTAGCAATATAGCATCGGCAATTTGATAATAAATATGTAAGTTCATGCTATTACTGAGTTCCACATCTTTTTCTGCAACTAGGATAGATAAAAGTGGGCGATTAGTCCAGATTGATTATTGTAATTTTATGCCAAACTCACATTGCAAAAATATAAATAAGCCATAGCTCTTCAATTATTGGGTGGATACAGTGTTATTACATCAATTGAATCACTGTTTCATAGTTCCATCTTGTGTGAAACTGCTGTCGTCACTTGTGGGTCTTTATCTCTGTCCTAATGTCTTTCAATTTCTTTATTAGGCCAATTCTTCCCATTTTCTGCTGTAAAATATATTTATATGGGTGTGGCTGGTCTTCACTTCTACATTTGTGACTTTGTTCTTTACTCTTTCTCCGTTCTTCTTGCTAATTTTGGAGCCCGATAAACTTTTTGGTCTTCTTTTTTTGTTTAGAAGGCACTAGGAATCATGTTGAGTAATGAAGAACAGTTGATGCTAAATGTAGATTCCAAAGTCGGTGCTCTCTTTTCCTGTTATTTTCAGGATTTATTTTTTCTTACCCCATCTAAATATTTGCTAGCAAAATCCGGATGCGAGGTTTCTGATTATTTGTAACTGTTTAGGATCTGCTAGAAAGAAAACATGAAGATTCATCATCAGTTTTTGTATCCAATTCACCAACACAGAATAGCAAACCAAGCAGCATGGTTGTAAAGGCAAGTCCTAGTGACCTTTCGTATGGATTTTTCTCTTACATAAATAGCATGATTGATATTAGTTTCTAGCTAAATGTGTATGATCTGATGTAATTTTTGACGTGAACTGAAGGCGCCATAATTCCAGCTCACCTGATAGCCGAAGCCATATCAACGGTCCATGGTCTTGACCTGAGATGTTCAGGACCAATAACACAGTGAAATGCAATATATGAGGCAGTTATGTTTCTGCAAAGTACCCTCAATATTGCGCAATGATATTGTGGTGAGTGGAGAAAACACAATTGATCTTACCAATATTTGCATCAATGAGGAATCGTCCAGAACCACACCGGACAGCAAGCCTGGTTCCCCCAAGAGTCTTGGCGCTAGAGAGTCTACTCCATTCACTCGCAGCCTATCTGATATTGACAAAACACAATTGGAGGCTTCAAGACTACTAGACATTCTTAACAAGAAAACTACTTGTAAAGAATCAAAGGTTATTCCAATGCCAGAAACTTGGCTGAACCTGCGGATGGGTCGCAACATAGCCAATTTCTTAGAAGGAAGTGCAAGCACATCCCAAAGGGCCTTTTCTCTTGCCCAGCTATTGTCAATGAGACCAGATATTCTATGCATTGGATATCAGAGGAGCACAGAAATTCATAGCATGCTCTCCTTGATGCCACAGGCATGGTTTTTGGAGAAGACAGACTGGCCCTTGCACACCACCGCCCTGACTTCGTCGTGTTGTGTACACTTGCTTAGTCAATCTTTTTCCATAAATCTTCCCTCTGGTAACAATTTAGTTAATCCAAGAAAACAAGAAACAAGCTAAAGCTAAAATATGAATATGTTTTGATGCTAAAATAACAAAATTAAAGAACAAACTCAATCCGAAAAACATTAATAGTTCATACGGACATGTGACAGCATATGACAGATGTAAACTAAATGGAATACTTATTAATAAATTCACATATTTAAATAATAAAGATAAAGAGTATAAATATTCAAATAATTTTTTTTGAAAAGTTTGCATCGTAAATAATTCTCTTGGAAATCGCATTGGACTCTAAACAATGATTCCACTAGCTTACCGTGATTCCACTAGCTTTACTGTATTCATGATGTTCTTATAAAATATTTTTTATTTTGATATATTAAGATATTTTTAAAAAATATAAATTTTATATTTAAAAAATGAAAAATAATTTAAGAATTAAAAAAAAAAACGATTTGAACAAACAATGACATTTCAAAATAGGAAACAGAATGCATGAAAACCCTTTCCTGCCTTTCAAGCATTTTAAAGAAAAAAAAAAAGTTAATAACTTCATGTCTTGGGCTCTCCTCCGCAATCTCATGAGACAAATTGATAAATGGCAGCTACCAATGGGCTCCACAATTCTAAAAGTGTATTGATAAGTGGCAACCTTAACATGCTTTATTCATTCCGCCAATTTAAATTGTACCTTACCACGATGCTGGTCGCCAGCAAAGAAATTGATAGCCGCACAGGTGTCTATAAATCATTGAAGATGAAAGTTACCAAAATATTGCAAGCAAATAGAGGAGTTATCCTTCCATTTTGCAATTGCCACGTACAGCTTTTAGCTAATAGAACATATGTTTTTAGTTTTAAAAATATTTAATTTTTTTTCTTTGAATTAATTTTTTTATGTATTTTTAGATTGTTAATATTTATTTTAATACATTTCTAAACTAAAAAACCATTTTAAAAAATAATAATTACGGCTGAAAATCCAATCCAGCGCGGCGTCACGCCCAAAGATTCAACAAGAACTCCAATCTGAAGAGGTTAGCTTGTTGGTAGCGGGTTTATTTTCTTAGAACATCAAGATTCAAATTTCAATATCAAAACAAAAAACTAGATGTATAATTTTATTTTCTAAAATACTTTTTATTTGAAAAGATATTAAATTAATATTTTTATAAGTGTTTTTAATAATTTTAATAGTCTTATGAAAAATAAAAAATAATATTTTAATATATTTTTAATTAAAAATAATTTTAATAAGCACAATTTTTAAAAGCATACGTGCATGCTTGTTATTGTATTTTTACGTGGGTTTTAAAATCATACATCAAAAATCCTTTTAGTGTTTTTTTATAATATTAATATGCTGATAATAAAAATAAATAAATAAATAAATCATCTTACTATATTTTTTAAATAAAAAACACCATATCAATATATTAAACGGGCAATACAAGACATCACGAAACACACACTATCTGATAGTGAGATAATTTGGCATCTACTTGAATCTCCATATTCAAATTTCATCTGTTCCCCGACTCAACACACTCTTTTCCCTCGCAAGATATTTTCCGTGCAACGCAGATTTCAAACAGAAATATAATAAAATAAAATTCTGTCGCATCTCTGCGTCTCATTTATCTATCTTGTCAGAAGCATAGAAAAAAGCGTATTTTAGCAATACCAACCATCACGCTGGCTCACATTAGCAGCTGGAGGGATCTCAAAATGCCATAGCCGACCTACAGCCTTAACCAAATACTTCCTGCACAAAAACTCCTCCGCAAACATTTTCTCCACTCTCCGATTCACATCATGTAAAAACACATGCGTCACTCCTGATCCTTTCCTCCCCCTAGCCATCACCGCCGCTGAAAATATCGCCGCCATCCTCCCTGGTGCCTCCGGGAAGTACCCTCTGGGCGCATCAATCATTATCAAATCCCATTCCTTATCATAAACTTCGTCAGGCAATCCAGACAGTGCTAACCTACACTTATAATTGCCGCGTAAGCACGCTTTACTTGGCGAACACAACGGTTCAGACCGGTACGTTTTCAGGAGGCTGTCGGCTTCCTTTAGCTGCGTCAAGTACTGAACCGTATGCGCATTTAACGTTGGAGCCTTTTTGACGATTGTCTGAACCCACTTAGGATCTTCTTCGAGAAACAGAGTGGTGCCATGTGGATTTAATGATGTCCACATGAGAGAATCAAAACCGAGACCAAATACAAGGAAGTTACAGGGTGACCGTGTTTTGAGGACATTAAAAGTGAC